AACTGTCAGCATCGATCGGGATGAGGGGAAAGGACTTAAGCAGTTCCCAGCTTTACGTGACGTGATCAAGGACAGCACTGACAGTCGCGCCGTCTACCTGGCCCAGCAAAGGGCCACGGTACCACGGACAAGCTGCTCACCTTGACAAGGGCGGGGTCCTGGGATCCACTCCACCCACGCTAGCTGCGGCCGGCCCGCCTCTGCCCGTCTTAGCGCCACTTCCGGCTCCGCCCCCAAGGCGGAAGTGGAATCTGGGCCACTCCTCCAGGCCAGGGGGAGGGTTTGGGCTCACCGCTCTAGAGTTGATCTGCTCGGAGTCCTTCGGTGCATGGACCGCACGTGTGAGGAGAGGCCCGCCGAGGATGGGAGCGACGAGGAGAACCCCGACTCCACGGAAACCCCGGTCCGCATCCGAGACACCCCGGAAGACATCGTGCTGGAAGCACCGGCCACCGGGCTGGCGTTCCATCCGGCCCGCGACCTCCTGGCGGCGGGGGACGTGGACGGGGACGTGTTCGTGTAAGTGCTGGGCAGGGCTCGGGGCTGCGAGATCTGGAAGCTCCCTCGGGATGGAGGTGGGATGAGGAGAGAAAGGTGCAGAGAGACAAATCTTGAAAGACTCATCTGATCCGATTCGTTCAATAACATTTGGTTTTAAACCAGTTAACACACAAATCTCTTGAGACAACTGAAAGGAAGACAAAGTGGCTGGAATGTCCTGACAAAGCCCAGAGACAGTAGCAGGACAAGAAGGCGTTCAGGACACTGTTATTTTTCACTGGATTATTTTACTGAGCCTGAAACGGGTTGAATGGGCCCCTTCCGCTTTGCTTCTTGCCTGCTTTAATCTTTCAAAAACACAAATCTAACCACCTCTCTTGATTAAAACCCCTCAGTAGTTTACCTTTGTTTTTAGGATTAAGTCAAAACTCCTTGATCTGGCTTTTAGGGTCTTGGCCATCTGGTTCTCGCTCACTTTCCCCTTACTTTCTGTGCTCATTCATTCTTACCTTTTTAATGTATCTTAAATCCTCAGTTCTTTTGCGGGTTATTCCTTCTGCCTGCAAAACTTTCCCCTCACTTGTACCCACTATCCCTGAGTTCTCAACATCTCTACACTTGCCCTCCCGTTCCCCAGACTGAGTTAGATTACCCATTAGATGCTGCTGTGTTGGCACCAGATAACTTTCCCTCATAAACTTCGTGTGGTTTGCAATCCTACATCCATTTGTGTAATCATTTGAATGCTTGTCCCCTTCACTAAAAAAAAAGAAAGAAAAAACATGTTTTTCAAACTTTTTGACCTCGCCGCACACCAAAAATAATTTTTATGTGTGATGCACCCCGATATTTTCTGGTTTATTACGTTGTTACTGCAGGCACACAGACAGAAAATGCTGATCGCAGCTCACTAATGGGTCATGACTGGAGTCTGAAAAACGCTTTTCTGTAATCTGTAGTCTGTTTTGTTCCCCATTAGATCTCCTGCTTCTAGACCACGTTAGGCGCTCCGTAAGTGTCTGATTTTGAACAAGAGAAGTAGGCTGGAAGCAGTGAAAAGTCATTGAAGGTTTTAACCAGAAGAGTTGTGCTGTCAGATTTACTTAATGACATTAAACCTCAACCTCCTCAGTAGCTTCAGTCACCTTGGGCAAGTTAACTTCCATATTTTCCTCTTCAAAAACGAGTAGTTTTTGGCATACCTCGGAGATCCTGCAGGTTGGGCTCCAGACCATCGCAATAAAGTGAGGCACACAAATTTTTCGGTTTCCCAGTTCATATAAGTATACTCTATACTGCAGTCTATTAAATGTGCCTTAGCATTATGTCTAAAAAACAATATACATACCTTAATTAAAAAATACTTTATGGCTAAAAAATGCTAACCGTCATGAGTGAGTCATAGTCACTGGTCACAGATCACCATAACAAATATAATGAAAAAGTCTGAAATATTGTGCGGGTTACCAAAATGTGACAGAGACACAAAGGAAGCAGATGGTGTTGGAAAAATGGCACCGACAGACATGCTCCATACGGGGGTTGCCACGGACCTTCCGTTAGTAAAAAATGCAGTGTGTGTGAAGCACAATAAAAGGAGGTATGCCTGGACCTACCTTGCAGAGCAGTCAGGTGTATACTGAGTTCAACAAATGTGGGTTCCTTTCTATTACTATTCACACTTACTTCATGCCAGACACTTGGGGGTCACTCTGAACCTCCAGCTTTACTCACATCAACATTGCTTCAGTTTGTCTCCTCTTTCCTACCCTCAGCCACTGCCTTTTGGCAGGCTTCTGACTTCTTCCATGACCATTCCAAAGAGGTTCCTTTTCCCATAGGATTAAATTCATACTTCTGCTTGGCCTATATGGTCTCAAGTCCAGTCCAACCCATCTTTCCAGATTCACCCATTTCACTCTCCTGCCACTGGAACCCTCCTCATTCCTTGTCTCTGCCCTAGAAGGGACATTGATTATCTGCCTCCAGTATCTGCCAGATGAACTACTTATTCTTCGTGACCCAACTCACATCTTGACCTTAGCTTTCCAGGGCTCTTTTCTCATGCTAGGCACTGGGACAGAGCAAATAAGGAGACCCTGTTCTGCTCACCAAAACTCCCTAGCAATTAAGTACTTTGTCATCTGGCCCTTTTTGAAGATCTGCTCTGAGGTAGGCACTAGGGATACACTCTGGACAAATACTTGCCTCAAAGCTGAGCTTCCAGGCTGGCCCTTCTCTGTTCCACCTCCATTTTGATCCTACCTCCTTTTCAGCATGTGGCCACAATATTCTGTAATTAGTTTTAACTTTCTTGAGCTCATATAGGCCTGGAGTACAAGAGCCCTGTCTTTTGTTAATTTTTGTATTTCAAACTCCTGGGGCTCTTTTTTTTTTTTTTTTTAAGATTTTTCAGAATGAGAGACTCAGAGCACAAGCTGGGGGAGGGGCAGAGGGAGAGGGAGAAGCAGACTCCCTGCTGAGCAAGGAGTAGATCCTAGGACTCTGGGATTATGACCTGAGCTGAAGGCGGACGCTTAACCAACTGAGCCACCCAGGCGCCCCTGTTCTGTCTTTAGCACATAGTTCACGCCCTCCATAGTGGTCCAGATCTAGTATTTCCCCAGGCTGGGGCTTTTAAGGATGACGTGGGGTCAGTTCACAAAGAAGTCCTGAGCAAATATACTTTGAATGTATGTTGAATTAAAGACTGAACATTTGAAAATGGAAAAATGGGATGGTAAGCTCCGTGGGTTTGGTGGTATGTAAGCAGCAGTTTCTAGAGAGGTGGAAGGTTGACTAAGTTGGTCTTTATATTCCCTGCTGGCAGGATCTGGAGTCATTCACTCTCTGCCTCCTCCCCCTAGCTTTTCCTACTCTTGCCAAGAGGGAGAAACGAAGGAGCTCTGGTCCTCAGGTCACCACCTCAAATCCTGCCGAGCTGTGGCCTTCTCTGAAGATGGACAGAGTGAGTATTGGGCAGGCAGCCAGCCAGCAATCTGTTGGCAAGGGAGCAGTGAGCAGCACCATGACCTGGGCACCTCTCTCCCCAGAACTTGTCACTGTCTCCAAGGACAAAGCCATCCACGTTCTAGATGTGGAGCAGGGCCGACTGGAAAGACGCATTTCCAAGGCTCACGGGTAAGGGGAGCTAATTGTGTGTTGAGGTCAAGGTAAGGTGGTAGCTTCCTCCCGGGACAAAATGCTTCAAGCAGCTCTGTGTCTCTAGTGCCCCCATCAACAGTCTGCTGCTGGTAGATGAGAATGTCCTGGCCACTGGGGATGACATGGGTGGCATCCGGCTCTGGGACCAGCGGAAGGAGGGCCCCTTAATGGATATGCGGCAGCATGAGGAGTATATCGCTGACATGGCTCTGGACCCAGCCAAGAAGCTGCTGCTTACGGCCAGGTACAGCCTCAAAGCTGCCTCCCTTTCCCTTCCCTGTTGCAGCGCCCTCCTTCGATGGGGGCTTTGGCCAAGCCCGCTGCTCTGTTCTCTCTACAGCGGGGATGGCTGCCTGGGCGTCTTCAACATCAGGCGGCGCCGGTTTGAACTGCTCTCAGAGCCTCAGTCTGGAGACCTGACCTCTGTCACGCTCATGAAAGTACGTCTCGGTGTGGGGCTTTGGGAGCACGGCAGGGATCTGTTCGGACAGGGCCCCCGCAGACATGGTTTCATTCTCTGCAGTATGGGAAGAAGGTGGCCTGTGGCTCCGGTGAAGGCACCATCTACCTCTTCAACTGGAATGGCTTTGGGGCCACAAGTGATCGCTTTGCTCTGAGAGCGGAGTCCATTGACTGCATGGTTCCGGTCACGGAGAGCCTGCTGTGCGCTGGGTCCACTGACGGAGTCATCAGGTGAGAAGAGGCCAGGACGGCCTGAGGTCGCACGAGGGGCCGACCGAACCAGCCAAGACCAAACTCTCTCTTCTCTCTGCCCAGGGCGGTCAACATCCTGCCGAACCGTGTGGTGGGCACCGTGGGCCAGCATGCCGGGGAGCCTGTGGAGAAGCTGGCCCTCTGCCACTGCGGCCACCTCCTGGCCAGCAGTGGCCACGACCAGCGCCTCAAGTTCTGGAGCATGGCCCAGCTGCGGGCTGTGGTCGTGGAGGACTACCGCCGGCGCAAGAAAAAGGGGGGGCCGCTGCGGGCGCTGAGCAGCAAGGCTTGGAGCACAGCTGACTTCTTTGCAGGACTGAGGGAAGAGGGAGAAGACTGCGCAGCTCAGGGGGGGGAGGAGAGGGAGGATGACCGTGACTGAGGGCAGGAGCCAAGTCTCGGATAGGTCCCCCCGGGCACGTCTTGCTTCCTGGGCTGGATACGAGAGGCGCTACAGACTCCAGACTCGTACTGCTCTTGGGCTGTGCACAAAGGTGCAGAGCCAGAGGCTCGGGACTGAGGGTGCGGGGGGGAGGAGGTAAGTACTTGCTCTGGTAGCCGCTCACTCGGCCAGTGGGAGAGAAGCCCACGGCTGGGGCAAGATCGCACGGACACAGGTGTACACCAACCAGGGGTTTAATATAAATACAACCAGCAGAGAAAAACCCAAAATCACATACACCATAACCAGAATGTCATGTAGTGGGGACACAAGGCAGATTTCTGACCCTCTGGCTCAGCCAGCCTCCAAATAAAATCAACAAAGATGACAAATCAAGAAAATAAGTAGTGAGATTCATACTGGGCTGTGGGAGAAGAGGGGGTGTTTGTGTGTCTATCACACAGAGAACGGCCAAGGAATACCGTGGGGCCAGGTCAGACCCTGGGCCGGGAGGGGGAAAGCAAGGGTCCCTCACCACAACTTAGCCAAACCTGAGCTTTCCCAGGCCTCCTGGGGCCCTGCCCCAGCTGGGAGGCTGTGTCAGAGGTAGGGCGCGGCCCGGGCTCCTCCTCTCTGAGATTAGATGGCGGCTGCCCAGGCCTGCTGGGCTGGGGACGGACACAAGCTCTGCCAGCTCGTGCCGGCTGCCTGTGACGAGGACAGCGTCACTGCTTAACCACGGTACCTGCCTCGGCTCCCGCAGACCGTACAAGGCTGGCCCCCGACTCCCTCAGTGCCTCTAGCATCCTGGCAGACACGGCATCCTTAGCCACCTCATGCCCGTTCTGCCCGTCCGGGGCCAGCACCACCCAGATGAGGCCACTGAAGGGCACCGGGTGCCCAGGGATCACCACCTGGTACCAGAAGCGGTGCCAGCCGGCAGGGCCTGTGCCCAGACACTTGGTGAGGAACACGGGGCTGCCCAGCTTCATCCGCTGGCACAACAGCTGCAGGGCAGCCCGAGCCCCTTGGGACTCTAGCTTGTCCCTGGCTGGGGCCAGCCAACTGCCGTCTGGCTGCAGGCTCTGCAGTGAGGGACCCAGGAGCTGCTGGCGGAGTCGCTGCTTCAGGTCTGGCTTGAGCCACTCCACCGCCACCTGCTCTCCACAGAGGCGTGACTGCCCTGCAGGAAAAAGGCAGAGACAAGGGGGAGGTCTAAGCCCTGGATCCAAGCTCCCAGGCCCTGTGAACCCTTTGGAGTCTACGCGGCCTGTTCAATTTCTAGCCTTCCCATTTCCTGGTGGTGTGACCTTGGGCGAGTTAACTTCTCCAGGCTTCTTTGTGTCTCTTTGAAAAGGGGGCGTAGTAGCTGCTACCTTCTGAGTTCCCTTATTGGAGTGCCGGTGGATGCAGGCTTTGTCTGCCTCATAACCATCATAATAGCTAACCTTTACTGTGATTACCTGCCACGACTCAGGGAATGTGCTAAGTGCCACCTAATTCTCACAACAGCCTGAGGTAGCAAGTTCTATAGCAGATAAAAGGTAGACTCTGTAGGACTGCCTCGGGCGAATTAATTTCTCCCCAAACCCTCTCTTCGTATCTAAAGAGGGAGCTCATTCTGTGTTTCACTGGAATGTTGGAGACTAAGTTAGGAGATAATGCCTGGGAAGCGTTAACGCAGGTGGCACCTGGGAGCACCAGCGGAAACTAAAAATCTCAGGTCATATATAGTATGACATCGAAAACTCAGACTTGCTTTACCCTACGATCTTGCTTTACCCTCTGTGCTGACGTGTAAAGTGCATGGCGAAATGTGTTTGGCCCCCACCAGCAGCCCCCCACCCCCCCGCAGCCTCGCCCCCCCTACCTTCCACCAGGGCTTTTTTGGCCATGGCAGCGGCGCGGTGCGAGTTGAACTTGAGCAGCGCAATTTGCGCGGGCGCCGGCCCGGGGCTGGGCATCAGCAGCGCCTCCTGCAGGCCGGGGCCCAGGGGCTGCAGCGCGAGCAGCAGCGCGCGGCGGCTCAGCGCCGGGGGCAGCCCGTCCACACTCAGCTCGCACTTCTCCGTGCTGCGGCACACGAGCAGCGGGCAGGCCGGCCGCAGCGGGTGGTTGTGCAGCGTGGCGATGGCCGCCTGGGCGCCGCGCCGCGAACTGTAGCGCGCGTAGGCGAAGCCGCGGTTCAGGCCGCTGAAGGTCATCATCAGGCGGAACTCGTAGAGGCGGCCCACGCGCTGGAACAGTGGGATCAGCTGGTGCTCGTACACGTCCTGGGGCAGCCGCCCGATAAACACCTCGGACCCGGCCGGCGGCGGGCTGCCCACCCAGCCTGGGGGAAGGGGCGGAAAGGGGCACCGTCATCCTCCGGGACGGCTCCGGGTTTCGGGCCCGGGCACCCAGCGCGAGAGGGCCTATGAGCAAACGTCCGTGAAATGGGTGCAGCACTCGCACCCCGAGCGGCTGGCATAACCGGGTGCCTAGCTAACAACGCGGCTGGCGCAGGGTAAGTGCACCTTAAGGCTGGCTCCCTCCCTCGGGGGGCGGGGGGCAAGGTGGGTGGCTGGAGAGCCACAGACAAGTCTCAGCTGCTTGATCGGAGGGGGTGCAACGGGTCGAGATTTCTGCCTGCAGAGCACTGGGCTAGGCCCCTCCCCCAGAGGATGCACGGTCGGGACCGTCGAGGCTGGCGGGGCCCGGCAGGCGTAGGGCTGCGACGTACCTGGGGGTGGCCCGCCATACTTCCTCTGCCCGTTCACCTGCACCAGGCGGATGCCCGTCTCCCTGACCCACGCCTCCAACGCCGCCTTGTTCTCGGGATTCACCCTCTCACACCACAGCTGAAGGCGAAAGGGCAGGTTGGAATGGCGGATCGCCGCGCCCGCCCCCCACCTCGCCTGTGGAGCCGGAGCCCAAGGGGCCACTTCTCCCTGCGCAGGTGGCGCTTGTCGAGCCCCTCTTGCCAGCCACTCACCTCACACTCCCGCTTGGACTGCATGGCTCTCGGACCAGCCCGTCGGTACCCCCTTTATAACCTCCTCCGCATCTCCCTCTGGAAGTTTCCCTACCCCTCCTCCCCCCAAGCTCTCATTGGCTCTGAACACGACCCCGCCCCCCAAGGGGGTGGGGGTATCCACTGCACGTGCGCCGCGGGAACCTCGGACCCTCAGGTGAAAGCTAGAGCCCTTAACTGGTGAGCGTGGTGAGCGTGCGGGCAGCGCCGGCTCCTCGGGCGTGGCTGTGCGCGGGAGGCAGGAGCCTCAGCGGCACCCTTCACCCCGGGCAGGCGCCCAGGGAGCCCACTGTCAGTCTCTCCCCACTTTCGCACCGCTCAGGTGGTTGGAATGGCAGGCCCAGGCTCCCACAGGGAAGGCAGGACTAGACAGCAGTGACACAGGCAGGCTCCAGCGGTTGAGTCATTTTATTGGACCTGTAAGGATTAGGGGGGAGCACTCCCTCCATCTGGTTAGGGTCCTGCAGGGGCGACCATCTGAGGCTCCGTCCCTGGAGCACAGACGGACTAAGCCCCCAGGACATCCTGTGGAAAAACTGTGTAATACCTGGCCACTTTTGCCTGTGATTACCAATAAAATAATCATAATAAAAAGTCTCCGTTCTGACCACCGTTCAGGTCTTCCTGCTGGAACAGAAGTGTGCAAAGCTGTGAAGTATACATGCAGAGTTTTGTCTGAGCCTCACATGGTGCCAGTCCCACTTTCCCCTGATAGTTTGCTCAACTCAGCACATGCAAAGGGGCTGGCTTGTTCTCCTTTTGATTTCTTCCACAAGGTCTTCTCTTCGGACGTCCACCTGGCCAGGATGGGGAAAGAAGGTGGTGTGAGCATCTCTGACTCCACTGCTCCTAAGTGCCCACTGCTTCCCCTAGTCATCAGAGTTGGCTCAGCTGGGAGCAGGAACGCAAGCAAAGGCAGGCAAAAAGTAGACAGTGCTTCCTGGAGGAGCCAGAGACACAGGGTACAGATGGAGATGGGACTCCTACCCTACCAGGGCCATAGTAACAGGTTAACCTTTAGTCCTTTCCGAGTGGGCATTAACATGAGTGCCAGGCTTTTGCTCGGGTCTTGAATGGGCATGGCCTGCCAGCCATTCCCTGTCCCTCAGCCTTCCTGCCCACCTACCTACCTCTTCCCTGCTGGCCACTGAGCGGAGCTTGATGACCCCATCCTTGAGCTCCTGCTCACCGATGATGGCCACCAGTGGGATGCCTGCCTCCTCACAGTATTGCAACTGGTTCAGCAGCTTTGGGTTCTTCCTGTAGAGCAGCTCTGCCTGCAGGGGACCAGGGCAGAAGATGAGTGCTGGCTTCTACTGCCCTCAGGGACAACTTCCTTGGAAGGGGCCCAAGTGCTCTTGGCCCTCCTCCACGAAGTTGCTATGGATGAGCTTTTACTTCGTTTGTTCCTAGCACTCCCAAGTCTGCTGCCACCCTGGGGCCGGCCTCCGCTACCTTGATCCCGGCATCCCAGAGCTCCGAGACAAGCTTCAGTCTCTCCTCCAGCAGCTTCTTCTGGGCAGATGCAACAAGCACCTGTGTCTCTGTGGTCCGTACCTTCTCCTCCAAAGCCTGGGGAAGGGGCACATAAGTAAGAGTCCGAGAGCTGGGCTACCTTCAAAGAGCAAACGGAGCAGGCTGTTGTCAGGATTCTGAGAGACAAGGCCCAACTGCACGAGCTCCACAAGGACAGGGGCCCTGTCTTCTCCGCTAGCAACTGGGCATAAGGTGGCTCCTCAAAGATGTAAGAAATGAACTGACTGGCTTGTACATATGACTTGCCAGAATAGATCACGTAGGGCAAGAGTGAAGGTGGTTTACGTACAGTAACTTCAAACTTGTTTCCTTCTAGTACCTTACGGGTCCAAAAGAACATTCACACGGAAGTTCCCACTTACTGTCACCCAGTTCCCACTTACTGTCTGCCCAGTCAAGACACTGTGCCTCTTATACTTTGGCCACAGGGCCCAACCCAGGGTGTGGGTGGACAGGGGGAAAGGGAAAATGCTGCCGCCGCCCCTTGTCTTTTTCTGGAAAACTATTTTCATCGTTCTTAACAACCTAAGATACCTACTGGAACAGTGACCTCAACTGGGAAACATGGGTGGTTTCCGCTCCAGAGAAAAGGATGGGAGCACTGGGAAGATGACTGCCAGAGGATTCCCCAAGGGATGAAATGCAACCAGCCAGTTAAGAGTGCTTGAGGCCATGAGGGCCTTCCCTGGTGTTACTCCAGGGGCTAGAGAGTCAAGATAGCCACTGAAGGATCCCAAGACCTCAGATACATGCTTACCACTTAGAGACACCATCAGAGTAGGTAGGAGCAAGCCTTTGGAGTTAGACTGCCTGGATTCAAATTCTGACCCTGCTACTTAAGAGTTTCACAACCTTGAGCAAATTATGACCTATAATGCTTCAGCTCCCTTGTGTAGAAAATGTAAACAATACATTTACAGGGCTGTGTAAGACTTTTACTAGATAATGCATGAAAAGCACTAAGCATGGTGCCTAGTACAGAGTAGTAAACTATTAAGCATTCTGTATTCTGAAGAAGATCTGGGTCTTTGGTTATACCAGCTATGACTTCTGACAGTGCTGAGGGAAGCAGGGACCCAGAGGAAAGGATTCTGTGAAGAATGATCAAAGATCCATAAAGCGGTCGACAGTGGGGTGCGAGTCTGTGAAAGACAGCAACCATCTTTTCTCCATTTCTTCCAGAGATGCTCCTTGACCAACACAGTACTATTTGCCCCCTTGAAGATCAAAGAAAACAGCTCACATGCCACCAGCTGCCCACCCCCAGGACGTACCTCTAGCCTCTGCTCCACAATGGAAAAGATCCGCTCCACCCCAATGCTGAGCCCCACGCATGGCACCTTGCGTCCTTTAGGGTCGAACATGCCCACCAGTCCATCATAGCGTCCTCCAGCAGCCACACTGCCCACCCCCAGGGGCTCTTCCCCTGCTCGGACTGGGGTTTGTAGCAGCACTGCCTCATAGATCACCCCAGTATAGTAGTCTAGCCCTCGAGCAAGGCTCAGGTCAAAGGAGATCTGTGGAGACAAAATCATAGTACAAGATGAGGATCAAGGAACTGAAACCCCAGAGTTCAGCTAAGGTGTCCACCCCCAGGCTGACTCACCTTGTCAGCAATGCCAAACAGGGTCAGGTATTCAAACAGTAGTTTTAGGTCTCCCAGGCCCTCCAAGGCCTGTTTGTTTTGGGATAGATCAGGATCCTGGAGCAGCTGTTCCACCAGGGATACCCCACCTGGGAAGGTATCATTTGTGAGCCAGACTGACTGACTGGACTACACACACACACACACACACACACACACACACACAGTTGTTTTGGCCTAAGATTTGAGGCCAGTTTGATGGCTCTTGGAGAGGCAGGGTCTGTTCCTCACCATGCTGCTGGACATAGTCCCCAATGCGGTCAGCCACCTCTGGTGCGAGGCCCTTCTCTCCCACCATCTCGTTCTTTACTTCCTCCCAGGACACCTAGGCAGACAGATACCAGTAAGGGACCCCTGGGTAGTTCTCCACTGCAGAGCAAGTGTGGGCCCTCCAGAAGTTGCCTTTCACCCTATATTCTGGGGCTAATCTTCCTTTGGTGAGCACAGAGGCACGGCCCCTCTCTCCTGATCTTGTTTTACGTCTCTCAGAGCAGCAGATGATTCTCTGACATAGCTTGGAGATAAAGGAAATGTACTGAGAAAAGAAAAGTGACGTGTTTAGGTCATTACCTTGTCCAGCTTGTCCACCGAGGAGCAGATGGTCCGGAACTTGCTATCAGGCACACCACAGATGGCAAACATCCCATCTAGGATGCGCCGATCATTCACCTGCAGGGACCCAAGGCATAGTGAGGAGAGGATCTCTTTGTGTGACCATCAATAGTTCTGGTCACTTGGGCTACTGGTCTCTCTGCACAAGGATCTTCTATGAAAAGCTTCGCCCAACTTTGCCCTCCCAAACCCGTTCAGCTCTGACCTTGACCAGGAAGTCACCTATCTGAAGGGAACTCAGGATCTCACACATGATCTTCAGGCATTCTGCATCAGGGATCATGGGGTCAAATTGTCCGGCAATGTCAAAGTCCTGCAGGGAGATGGGTAGGTATAGTCCTCAGAGTTTTAACCTTCTTAAGGGCAGGGCGGGGAGCAGGGGAAGACGCAGCCCTGGGAGCTCTGCTTTTTCCCTATAAAGGCCTATCTGCACTCATGCACATACCGCCTTCTTCATTATCTGTCCTATCACCAACCCAGAGGAAACTCCCAGCATTCTTGGGTCTCTTACCCATCCTGGTTTCCCTTCTGTCTACATTCCTTCATTATCTCACTCATCTATTTTTCCCTATTTTCTCCTAGCACTGTGGGGGCAAATATATGGCCTTAATACTTAGCCATTTTCTCTACTTATTCAGAAGCTCTGCCACCACTCTGGATGATCTGATACTTCAAATCCAATTTCCCCATCCTTTGCTGTGATCCAATCACTGTGGTTTAATATAAAGAACAATGGACCAAAAGTTCTGCTCCTGACTTTGGCTTTCTTATCCCTATGATCTCTTTTTTTTTTTTTTTTTAATTTCAGAGGGAGAGACAGTGAGAGAGGGAACACAAGCAGGGGGGGTGGGAGAGGGAGAAGCAGGCTTCCTGCCGAGCAGGGAGCCTGATGTGGGGCTCGATCCCAGGACCCTGGGATCACGACCCAAGCCGAAGGCAGACGTTTAACGACTGAGCCACCCAGGCGCCTCCATCCCTATGATCTCTTAATCTTGCTGAGTCTCAAATTTACTCATATGTAAAATGGGGAGAATAATCCCTATCCTCTACATGAAAATGCTAAAGAAATCTAAGGTTAGCACTATCTGGTGCAACCAGTTTGTTCAGTGCACCATGAGTACTCAGTAGATTCTACTAAGTTGAGGGAGGGCCAAGTTCCCCATCACGCCCCACATACTCACACACTGATAGAATTCCCGATACCGGCCGCGGGTCATGGCTGGGTTATCTCGCCGATATACTTTGGCTATGTGGTAGCGTTTAATGTTGGTCAGTTTATTCATTGCCAAGTATCGAGCAAAAGGAACCTGGTAACAGTTAAGGAGAAAGACCCCTCCTCACACAGTCCGGCAGTTGATTATCACCACCAACAGAAACTCTCTATGTGTGAGTAAAACCACAACCTGTAAGATTAAGAGCATTTCTGAACATCAGAATCAACTTTGTTAGCACAGCAGAAGTCTCAAAAAAGATTAGGGTTCCTCTCTCTTTGGTTAGTGTCTCCCCTGGACTATGCTGAGCACAGGAGGGGGCCAGGCAGATCGGCCAGAGAACAGAAAAAGGTCTCCATGTAGGATTTCTGAGCAGATGATTCTCTGACATAGCTTGGCGATAAAGGAAATGTACTTTTGGTCAGTTAAGGAGAACTTTGCCCACTGGACAGGGCAGGGGAGAGATACTCTGGAGCCAAGGGATTACTGAGTTGGAACAGGTTCCCAACATAAAGCTGAGGTCTCACTCGGGATTCAGAAGACTTTTAAGGCTATGTTCTATTTAGCTAAAGTCCCATTCCTGATTTAAAGAAGTAAGTTCCAGGGATGCCTGGGTGGCTCAATCCGTTGAACGTCTGCCTTCAGTTCAGGTCATGTTC